TTAAGATTTTATTTATTTATTTGACAGAGGGAGATCACAAGTAGGCAGAGAGAGAAAGGGAGAAGCAGGCTCCCTGCCGAGCAGAGAGCCCGACACGGGGCTCAATCCCAGGACCCTGAGATCGCGACCTGAGCCGAAGGCAGAGGCTTATAACACTGAGCCACCCAGGCTCCCCCAACAGGGATAATTCAAACAAAGCTAGAAGCGAGGCTATACCTGCACAGGGACACATTCTCAACTATTTTGCAAATGCCTGGTGAAAATTAGATACTGTCACAGCACAAAGTAAGAGCCCCATGCACTTAGGTATAATATCAATTGATATCCTTACATTTTTAAACTAGCATGGCCCTTGAACTATCAATATGGGTCAAATGAACTATACCCTTAAGATCACTTAAAAATTATAAGCATTGTTAATGGGCTATCCCAGTACAAATGCTCTAAATTTACTAGGTCCCTTTGAAAGACATAAATTGTGTACAGAGTAGGGAAGCTTGGGAAATGTCTATCAGTTTTTTGGTGGTGGTGGTTTTTTTGTTTTGTTTTAAAGATTTATTTATTTATTTATTTGACAGATCACAAGTAGGTAGAGAGGCAGGCAGAGAGAGAGGAGGAAGCAGGCTCCCCCACTAAGCAGAGAGCCCAATGTGGGGCTTGATCCCAGGACCCTGGGATCGTGACCTGAGCCAAAGGCAGAGGCTTTAACCCACTGAGCTACCCAGGCACCCCTTGTTGTTGTTTAATTAGATTTTTAACCAATAGAGTTCTGGGGCCCTTCACAGCGATGACTTGCCTTATAAGGACACTTACTGCAGACTCTCAGTTGCTGGGCTGTGTTGGAAATGTGGTTTGGGCCCTGGGGGTTGTTCACAGTCCCCCCTGAGACTGTTGAAGGCAGTGATCCTTTTCCCCAAAAATGCTTTCAGCTCTTCTAGGTTAAAAAACAAACAAATAAAAAAGAACTCTGGTCTCGCTTTTCAGAAAACATTCCATTAATAAGGAATAGATTTTTTAGGAATAGTCTTGGTCTCTGGGAAAGTTAGTTTGGGAGTGGCACACTCTGCTAGGGATTAACTGGAACATTTCAAGGACACATCACAATTATAGTATCAACTTGAAAAGGAGTGGTTTACTGGGGTATGAAAGTAGATTCTGCATGGAAGGGAAAGCCAAGCCAGGGCACACTGAGTCATGACAGACGCATGAGTTTAGACTGCCCCTCCCACTGGTCAGAGTGGCTGCCCCAGGACTCTGGAAAATTAGTCTTAGAAAGACCAGGTCAAGAGGACTTTTTTTTTTTCTTAATTAATGCCTTTTTTTTTTTTTTTTTAAGAATTAATTTATTTATTTGACAGGCAGAGATCACAAGTAGGCAGAGAGGCAGACAGAGAGAGAGGGGGAAGCAGGCTCCCCACTGAGCAGAGAGATGCGGGACTCGATCCCAGGACCCTGAGACCATGACCTGAGCCGAAGGCAGAGGCTCAAGCCACTGAGCCACCCAGGTGCCCCTCAAGAGGACTTTTGAACACAATTTCGAAGGCACTTGCTCCTCTGTGCACTCCTGTTCCTTACAAACGACCACCCTTAGCACTATCTTAACACTTCATTGGCCCTGTTTTCTAGCATGATCTAGCAACTTCATACCTTTTCTGGATTTAGGTGGGGTATTAAAACCGGTTGAGAGCAAGGTGCAGGTTAACAAACAGTGGGGAGGAGGCAAACCAAAAATGTGTTCCCAGCTGGAAGGTAACAGTGATTTGACCTTAGGGACTCTGTGTAGACAGTTTTGGAGAGCTGATTGTCGTCTTATCTCAATATCCTGTCAGCTGTATACGTGTTCGGTAGGCATTAGGTACTCAGTGGCTACTATGTGCCCCAGGGCCTCCAACAGTCACTGGAACTAGAGAAAGGGACAGTGTCTGTTTCTCCCAGCAAGCCCTTGACCCATCTTCTTTACTGTCCCAAATGAACAGGGGTTTTTGTTTGGTTTGGGTTTTAAGATTTATTTATTTTAGGGAGAGCTCCAGCAACCGGGGAGGGAGAGGCAGAGGGGGAGAGAATCCTGAAGCAGACTCTGTGCTTAGGAGTCTCCGTGCTCAGGGTCCATGCGGAGCCTGACTTTAGTCGATTCCAGGACCCTGAGACTATGACCTGAGCTGAAGCCCAGAGTTGGCTGCCTAACCAACAGAGCCACCCAGCTGCCCCTCAAGTGAGCAGGTGTTTTTTGTTTTTTTTTTTTTAAGATTTTATTTATTTATTTGAGAGACAGTGAGAGAGAGCATGAGTGAGGAGAAGGTCAGAGGGAGAAGCAGACTCCCCATGGAGCTGGAAGCCCGATGTGGGACTCGATCCCGGGACCCCGGGATCATGACCTGAGCCGAAGGCAGTCGTCCAACCAACTGAGCCACCCAGGCGTCCCAAAGTGAGCAGGTTTTAATGGAAGATGGGTCTCTTCTGTTTCCTCCGTAGGGGAATCGATACAAGCTGTTTGACTCTTCGTCCACGTGTAGCTCCGTCACCCGGTCAGTGTTAAAAAGACCAGACCGATCTCAAGAGGAGCACCTGCCCGCAAATACAAAGCGGAGAAAGAGCATGACTGGGGCCGGTCCCGAGGAGGCAGCCAGTCCCGAGAAGCCCCAGGAGGTTGGTCTGTCAGGTGCCTCTTCGTTCAAGGAGCACGATACTGTATTTTTCAATTCTGAAATTTCCATTTGGTTCTTTTTCTTTGCCAAGACTTACCGTTTTCCATGTGTTTCAAGCATGTTCCCAGTTGGCTATTGTGGCTGCTTTAAAATCCTCCCCAGATAATTCCAGCGTCCAAGTTGTGGTGGTGGGTTCGGTTGATTGTCTTTTCTTATTCAAGTTGAGATCTTCCTGGTTCTTGCTATGGCAAGTGATCTTTCTATTGTATCCTGTGTATTTGGGGTATTATAAGACTCGGGTCTACATAAATGTTCTGTTTTAGGCCTGTGATAACTGCGGGGATGATAAGCGTGATTCGTTTACTTCGATCATGTGGCCCGCCACTGGGCAGTCATTGATGAGTATTGCCTAGGTTTCATTTAACAAAGGTTTCAGAAACTGATCCTGCAGTTCCATCACTCGTCCTTTATTGGCAGAATATTCCCACAAAGAGAAACTTCTGCGCATCAAACTCTTTGGTCACCCTTGGGAAAGACAGAATGAATGCTGGATCTCTTTGAAGTGAACATCCCCCATAAACACCCAATCATGACCCAAGAAGGAGCCCCGGCAGCCACCCAGAGCCCCTCCTATGCTTCCCCTCAGTAACACGGATCTGAGCTCTGCCGATGTGGCTAAGTTTTGCCCGTGTTTGAACCTTATATCCTTGGGGTCCTGCTCTATGTATTCATTTATGTCTGGATTCTCTTGTTCAGCATTATTTTTGTGAGAATCATTTGTTGTATATCATATCCATGGTTGGGTCCTCCCCTACCCCCCGCCTTTTTTTTATTGCTGTGTAGTATTGACAGATTATATATCTTCCCACTCTGGCTTGCCGTTTCTCTTAATACTGTTCTTTTGATGAACAGAATTTCTTGATTTTTAAATGTATTTCAGTTCATCAGTCTTATCTCTGTTCAGTGCTTTTTGTGTCCTGCTTAAGAAATCCTTAGCTCCCCATGACTAGCCCTTTTGACATGGGCTGACTAGTCTGGTAACTTCCTTGCTACTATCAGAAGGCATTCCAGGTTTATCTGGTACATTTCTTGTCCCAACCTGGAGTCAATTGCTTCTTCAAAAAGCCCTGCTTTCTTTTCTTTTCTTTTTTTTTTAAAGATTTTATTTTTAAGTAATCTCTACACTCTACATGGGGCTTGAACTTAAAACCCTGAGATCAAGAGTCGTACCTCCACTGATTGACCAGCCAGGCGCCCTCAAACCCTGGTTTCTTTTAGTGGGAAATAGTATTTAGAGACCGCAGTATCCTTTAGGAATGCTTATTATACCTCTAGAGCTTCTCAGTTGGAGAGAACTAAAAAATATTTATTTAGACTTGGCCTTAATTTTAATTCCCCTTTTTAAAAAAGGTAGGGAGGGGCGCCTGGGTGGCTCAGTTAAGTGGCTGCCTTCCACCCAGATCATGATCCCAGGATTCTGGGATCAAGCCCCACATCGGGCTCTGCTCGGTGGGGAACCTGCTTCTCCCTCTCCCTCTGCCTGGTGTTTCTCCTACTTGTGCACACACGCTCTCTCTCTCTCAAATAAATCTTCTAAAAATTTTTAAAAATTTAAAAAGGGGAGAAAAAAACTTAGTTTCAGAACATTTGAGTTAGACACTGAAATAATAGACCTAGTCAGGGACCCACATTGTCTTTTTCATTCCAGATTCAATCAAATAAGGAAAATATTTTATTTGCTAAATACAGACATTTACATGTCATCTCCTGGTGACATGTTCTAGGTGAATGTTTTCAAAAGTCCTATTTGGAACCCTGGCCTCATTTTCCACCTTTGATTTATTACAGATTCTACATCAGTCTTTATCCTTGGCATCTTCCCCAAAGGGCACCATTGAGAACATTTTGGATAATGACCCAAGGGACCTTATAGGAGACTTCTCCAAGGTAATTCTTTTTTTTTTTTTTTTTTTTTT